GCGGCGGCGACGATGCCAGCCTGGCGTCGCTCGCCGAGAAGAGCAAGAAGGAGGGCAGACGGGACAGGTACGCCTTGCCCTTCCTGGTGGAGGACCCGCAGGGGTGCCATCGAGCTCGCACTCCGCACTTCTGCGGGCCGATCTGGGGTTTGGGCCTCCCGCTGGCACTGCGTGAGTGCGCGAGCCGGCCGGGATGTCTCGAGGGGCCGGTTCGGGATCCGTTTTTGATGGCCCGGGGCCCGACAACGGGCACCAGAGGCAGACATCGAGGAGGCACGCCAGCATTGAACAAATCGGGTCGTTGGAGATCTGGGTCTGCGGGCTGATCAGGAACTTGGGTCCCCCGCTGGCGCTGCTCGACCACGAGTGCCGGTCGGGACGTTTCGGAGGGGCCTGAATCGGGGCTCGAGCGAAACGAGGCTTTGGCGATCTCGTGGACCGTCTTCGTTTTGATCTCGCTGCGCAGCAACGGCAGAACGAAGACAGAACGAAGGAGCACGAAAACAAAACGCGAAGGACATTAAAACAAAAGCAGTACGAAAACGAACACGAAACGGAAACGAAGGTGAGCAACAAACGGGGAAAAGGAACGGGGGACACGGTTTAGCTCGAGCCCTGGTCTGCATCCTGTCTGTGGAGCGGTGTTTTGGAGCGGGCGTCGGCAGTGGTGGCGCTCTTCGGATGGAGGGCACTGGCGGGTGGACCGTCTTTCTCTGCGAGCCGACGGGGCCGCTCGTGAGTAGAAGCAGTGCGTGGGGGAGGGGGCACAGTCAAGCACTGGCGAAGTCTCCTTGCTTGACGAAGGGCCCGCTGAAGAATGTTCCAATAACCTTTTATGGTTGGCACGAACTGTTCTTAGAACCTTTCGGGCTGTGGCTGTCTTGTTTTTACACGTCGTTTTTTGTATGTTCGACGAAGTCTGTTTTGTCCTCAGAACATTTTTTTGGTTCTGGGACCATGTCGTGGTAGGCCTATAGGAATGCCAGGATGATCGGTCCCTGCTCAACACTGACGTCAGCGGACGAGCAGGGCTCAAGCAAGCGGCTTCTCGCAGGAGTGGAATTGCCGGTTCGATCGGAAGCGAAACATCACCCCTTGCGGGTTGTCGTGCTTCTGACGTGTGCCACCGCAAGCGCGGCCGCTCCTTGGTGTGAGGGGTCATTCGGGCCCCGCACAGCAGATACGACGACGCTCTCCGCATCCGTCCTGCCCCCCCCCCGCCAACGCCCGCGTTCCAGAAATCCCGCGGGACTCGCACCGCAGTCCTGCGTATGCGCAGGGCTCGAGCTTAACAGTGTTTTGGGAATATCATTGGCCGTTTTCGTTCTGATCTCGTTTCGCAGCAAAGGCAGAGCGAAGACAGAACGAAGGATGACGAAAACTAAAAGAAACGAAAACGAACAACAAACAAAAAGGAAACACATGGCAACGAGATAAAAAAAAACTAACACGAAGAACACTGTTCAGCTCGAGTCCCGTATGTGCGCGTGTGCCTTCTCGCCGCAGCCTCCGCCGCGCCGCGCTCTTGGTCGGGAGTTTGTGGCTCTCCCGTTGGGTGTGCCCCCTCGTTCCCTCTGGGTAGGGATCTGCGTAACATGGCCAGCTGTTCCTCCTCCTCCTCCTCCTCCTCCTCCTCCTCCTCCTCCTCCTCCAATTCCTTTTCCTCATGAATGATTTCTCCCTGTCGCACCCGAGGCCGGCTGGAAGGGTGAGCAGGGCGTTTCGCCTGAGACCGCCTTACCATTTATGAGCCTGAAGCTTAGACACTGGCAACAGCTTCACGGATGGAGGGCGGGCCGCTTCCGAAATGTGGCTCTCGCCTTAGCGCCGCGCACTCAAAGGGATCACTGCTGCCTTGCACCTCCACCGTGCCTCGAAGGAGCCCACCAAAGTGGCGACAGCTGCGCCAGTTCGCAGCCCCCGAGGGAGCTGCGAGGCCTCAAAGGGATCCCCGCTGCCCTGCACCTCCGTCGTCCATCCCAGGAGCCCACGAGAGTGGCGACGGTTGCGCCAGTTCGCCGCCCCAGAGGGAGCCGCGAGGCCTCGGAGGGATCACCGCTGCCATGCACCTCCGCCGTGCTTCCCAGGAGCCCACGAAAGTGGCGACAGTTGCGCCAGATCGCAGCCCCAGAGGGAGCTGCGAGGCCTTCAAGGGATCCATGCTGCACTCACCTCCGTGCCTTCCAGGAGCCCACGAAAGTGGCGACGGTTGCGCCAGTACGCAGCCCCAGAGGGAGCCGCGAGGTCTCGAATGATCACCGCTGCCCTGCACTCCGCCGTGCCTCCCAGGAGCCCACGAGAGTGGCGACGGTTGCGCCAGTTCGCAGGAGCCGCGAGGTCTCAAAGGGATCCATGCTGCACTCACCTCTGCCGTGCATCCCAGAAGCACACAAAAGCGGCGACGGTTGCGCCAGTTCGCCGCCCCAGAGGGAGCCGCGAGGTCTCAAAGTGATCACCACTCCCCTGCACCTCCGCCGTGCCCCCCAGGAGCCCACGACAGTGGCGACAAGTTGCTATAACTCGCCGCCCTTGGCGGAGTGATCCCCGCTGCCCTGCACTCCGCCATGTTTCCGATGAGCCCACGAACAGGGCGACATTTGCGCAGTTCCCTTCGAAGGAGCTGCGAGGTCTCAAATGATCGTTGCCCTGCACCTCCGCCGTGCCTCCCAGGAGCCCACGAAAGTGGCGATAGTTGCGCAGTTCGCAGCCCCCGACGGAGCCGCGAGGGCTCAAGTGATTCCCGCTGCCCTCACCTCCGCCGTGCCTCCCAGGAGCCCACGAAAGTGGCGACGGTTGCGCCAGTACGCAGCCCCCGAGGGAGCCGCGAGGTCTCGAATGATCACCGCTGCCCTGCACTCTGCCGTGCCTCCCAGGAGCCCACGAAAGAGGCGACAGTTGCGCAGTTCGCAGCCACCACTAGGAAGGGTTCGAGCAAGGGATGCAAGGAGGCAGTAGGCAGGAGGCGAGGGGGAGAGTTTTTTACCTGACAGCGAAGACTGATAGGTTTCTAGTAGGGTCAGAAGAGAGCATCATGACTCCCCAGGGGGGTCTGGGCAGATGCCGGACGGGTGCCGCGGAAAACCGGGGACTCTCCATTTTTATTGCCAGGAGCTAAATTTTGACTGCCTGGAGCCAACAGAACGCCATTCCCAGGCCACATTTTGAATGCCCGGGGCCAACTGTAAGCCACTTCGTGTTTTTCGTGCTCCCAGATCCCAGGCCACATTTTGAATGCCCGGGGCCAACTGTAGGCCACTTCGTGTTCTTCGTGTTCCCAGAACACCATTCCCAGGCCACATGTTGAATGCCCGGAGCCAACTCTAGGCCACTTCGTGTTCTTCGTGCTCCCAGAACACCATTCCCAGGCCACATTTTGAATGCCCGGGGCCAACTGTAGGCCACTTCGTGTTCTTCGTGTTCCCAGAACACCATTCCCAGGCCACATGTTGAATGCCCGGAGCCAACTGTAGGCCACTTCGTGTTCTTCGTGTTCCCAGAACACCATTCCCAGGCCACATGTTGAATGCCCAGAGCCAACTGTAGGCCACTTCGTGTTCTTCGTGTTCCCAGAACACTAGTCCTGTGCCGTATTTTGAATGCCGAGCTGAGGCAGGCTGAGGCTGAGGCAGGCTGAGGCCGAGGCAGGCTGAGGCTGAGGCTGAGGCTGCCGAGGCAGAGGCTGAGGCTGAGGCTGAGGCTGAGGCAGGCTGAGGCTGAGGCTGAGGCAGGCTGAGGCTGAGGCAGGCTGAGGCTGAGGCTGAGGCAGGCTGAGGCTGAGAGGCAGGCTGAGGCTGAGGCTGAGGCAAGCCGAGGCAGGCTGAGGCTGAGGCTGAAGCTGAGGCAGGCTGAGGCTGTAGCTGAGGCTGAGGCTGTAGCTGAGGCTGAGGCAGGCTGAGGCTGAGGCAGGCTGAGGCTGAGGCTGATGCAGGCTGAGGCTGAGGCAGGCTGACGCTGAGGCCGAGGCAGGCTCAGGCCGAGACAGGCTGAGGCTGAGACTGAGTTTGAGGCTGAGGATGAGGCCGTGGCAGGCCGAAGCTGAGACAAGGTGAGGCTGACGGGGGGGGGGGAGGGGGGGGGAGGAGGGGAGGCTGAGGCAGGCTGAGCCGCGGCAGGCTGAGGTTGAGGCTGAGGCAAACCGAGGCAGGCTGAGGCTGAGCTGAAGCTGAGGCAGGCCGAGGCTGAGGCTATAGCTGAGGCTGCGGCAGGCTGAGGCTGAGGCAAGCTGCGGCTGAGGCAGGCTGAGGCTGAGGCTGAGGGCAGGCTGAGGCTGAGGCAGGCTGAGGCTGAGGCCGAGGCTGAGGCTGAGGCTGAGGCTGAGGCTGAGGCTGAGGCTGAGGCTGAGGCTGAGGCAGGCTGAGGCTGAGGCTGAGGCTGAGGCTGAGGCTGAGGCAGGCTGAGGCTGAGGCGGAGGCTGATGCAGGCTGAGGCTGCAGGCTGAGGCTGAGGCCGAGGCAGGCCGAAGCTGAGACAAGGTGAGGCTGAACGGGGGGGGGAAGGGGGGGGGAGGAGGGGAGGCTGAGGCAGGCTGAGGCCGAGGCAGGCTGAGGCCGCGGCAGGCTGAGGCTGAAGCTGAGGCAAGCCGAGGCAGGCTGAGGCTGAGGCTGTGGCTGAGGCTGAGGCAGGCTAAGGCTGAAGCAGGCTGAGGCTGAGGCTGAGGCCGAGGCAGGCTGAGGCTGAGGCTGAGGCAAGCCGAGGCAGGCTGAGGCTGAGGCTGATGCTGAGGCAGGCTGAGGCATCCGTAGGAATCCATCGGAATCCGTAGGCATCCTTAGGAATCCGTAGGCATAGTGAAGCATCCTCAGGAATCCTTAGGAATCCTTAGGATTCCTCAGGAATCCTTAGGAATCCCTAGGAATCCATAGGAATCAGGATTCCCAAGGTTTCCTAAGGATTCCTATGGATTCCTAAGGATGCCTAAGGATGCCTTAGGAATCTCTAGGAATCCTTAGGATTCCATTGGGTCCTAACGCAGTTGCCACTGCGACTGTCATTGCGAATGCGACTGCGACTGCGAGAACAGCAGAATTCTACAACTGGATTCTCACCTGAATCTTAAGGGGAATGCTTCCAGATATGCTGATACACATCGCTGTTAGGTTGCTTTGCCGGGATACTTCTTTTCAAAGGGAGAGGCAAGGTTGCGCGAGCAGTGCTCTTTGCAAATCGAGAGCCCAACCAGCGGAGGGCTGGGAAATCAATGTGTGGGCCCTCGTGCTTCGTCATTATCCTTCCCCTCCGCTATCCTCCCCATCCTCGCACAGCGACGCGGAGGAAGCCGTGCCGGGCTGGCAGTCGACCGCCGAAGATCCTGCCCAGCGCGGCGAGATCTCCAGCCGGCAGAGCGGCGAGATCAGCAAGATGGCGGGCTCTGGGAGGAGAGGTTCGGGGCGGAGCGGGAAGAGGGAGGAGGGGAGGCGATGGAGGAAGAGCAGGGGGGAGGGGAGATCGGCATACCGACGGGCGTGCCTCACGCACATGGTGCTCAGACCCACTCATGCTCAGACTCGCCATCGGGTGGCCGCCGGCCCCCATCCCGCCACAGCGCCTGGGTTGTAGGCCAGAGGCCTCTGGGATGCCTGTCGGGATCTCTTGGGAGGCCTCTCGGAAGCCTCTTGAGGTTGACTTTGGCGTGCCATTGGGGGCCTTTCGGGAGTCTCTTGGGCGCTTCTTGGGGCATGACTTGGGCCTCCTGGGGGCCTCCTGGAGCTGATGGGGGGCTTCTTGGGGGCCTACTGGTGGTCTCGGGGTCCATCTGGGGGCGAAGGGCTCGAACTGTCGGTTCGCGTTCCCTCTCTGTGACCTCTTGGGCCCCACTTTGGGCCTTACTGGGCCGTCTTGGGGGCCTCCTGGGTAGTCTTGGCGCCATCTTGGGACGTCTGGGGACGCTCTTGGGGCCTTCCTGGGCCGTCTTGGGGCGATCGCCTCTTGGGCCGTCTTGGAGCGCGTCGAAAGCCCGCAAAAGGCTAGAACACAACGTAGCCAGCGTGGACCCCGAACAGTGCGTTTCTATACATATATGTATATATGTATATATGTATATATGTATATATGTATATATGTATATTATATATATATAGCTAGATGTATATGTATACATATCTATATATACACAAACATGTATGTATAATATATGTTTATATACATATGTATGTATGTGTGTGTTTAAATGTTATATGTATATATATATATATATACATACCGGGCCACAGGGCCTGGGGCCTCTCTGGCCGGCGCCGCAACCCTCCATGGGGGGATCGAGGGTCGTTTTTCTTGTGTTTTTTACATGGTTTCGGCGTCCCAGGCCTCGGGGGCCGCAGCGACGGCCCCAGATCTCTTCAAGACCTTCGGAGACAATTCTAAGATCCTTCAGCAGAGGCCCCATGCAGCTCCCAGGCCAGCCGAAGAACGCCCCAAGACGGCTCCAGGGGCGGCTGCCAGCTCTTATTTTCTATGTGTTTTTACATTGTTTCGGCGTCTCCGGCCTCGGAGGCCGCAGGGGGGTAGAGGCGGGAGCAGGAGAAGACATCAGAGATGTGGCCGAAGAGTCTCGGAAGCCGAGGGGTCGTGGGGCCGCGATTGAGGATCTTGGACCCTCGAAGTCTGGGGCGTCCAGAGGCCGAAGGTTTCGGAGGACCCCGGGGGCCGGGGCCTACGGGCCCCAGGGGTATCTGGACCGGGGAGGGTTCCGGATCGGGAGGCGTCCGGATTGGGGGAGGGAGGGGAAGGACGAGGAAGAGCGGAGGATGGGGAGGAGGAGGAGAAGGAGAAGGAGAACAAGGTGTAGAAGGAGGAGCAGGAGCAAATGAGGAAGGAGGAGGAGGTGGAGGAGGTGGAGGAGAAGGAGAGGAGCGGAGGAAACAGAGGACTGCCAAGTACGCTCTATAACGCTATAACCTTCAAGGGTGCCTAATCCCTTTGGAAACATTTGTGTATTTGTTATGGGGGGCTCAGGGTGTCGCTCAGACTTCCCCGGCGCAGAGAATTCCGCAAGTCCAGTGAAGCGGAAATTTGTGACACTGGAATCCCACAAGACTAATGACGCGGAAGCTGGTGACATTGGACTTCCGCAACACCAACGACGCGGAATATGGTGACACTGGAATTCCGCAAGACCAATGACGCAGAAGATGGTGACTTTCGACTTCCGCAACACCAGCGACGCGGAATATGGTGACACTGGAGTTCCGCAAGACCAATGACGCGGAAGATGGTGACCCTGGAATTCCGCAAGACCAATGACGTGGACGATGGTGACACTGGAATTCCGCAAGATCTGTGTGTTGTTTGGCAACGTTGGTATGGTTCTTCGATCAAAGACGGGGCCCGCTGGAACCGCACAGGAGGTGTTAACAAAGTCACCCCCCCCTGGGCTGCCAGAGGGCTGCGTGGTTTCCAAACTACATACGCTGCAAGACCCCGCACGAAGGATGAAAGGGTGGCCGGAGACCTCGCGAGAGCGCCCAGCGGCTCGAAAAATTGCCACGCCAGGGTCTCAGTGAGCACATCGTCGGAGATCTTCGGACGGGCTTAGAATCGAGAAACATCTGTTCCAGAGCGCTCCGTGCTCTGAAGCGGCCGCGGCGCCTGGCGTTCCATGCTATGAAACGGCCGCCGCGCCTGATACATCCTCCAAATCCGCCGATTCCCAGATATTTCCGATTCATATATATATGTATATGTATATGTTTATATGTACATATGTATATATATGTATGTATATGTATGTATATACATATATATATATATGTATGTATATTTATACACATCTATGTCGGTCCGACTTCGGCTCGATTTTGTCTCCGTCTTAGAGCTCGGTGCCCTGGTCCGCGCTGCCTACCCAAATCTGCGACGTCCTGATTTTTCAACACGGGGTCCCCGGAAGTCCCGACCCTTTTCCCCAGGGCTGGTCTATCATCGCGAGTCGTCCTTTGACGGTCCCGGGGCCCGGCGAAGGCCCCCAGAGGCCGAGCGCGGACAAAAGCTTCCCGCCCCGATTTGTGTTCATCGACGCGAGCATCAGGGGCAACGACAAGGGGGGTATAGGCACAGGGGGGATCCATCGCGCACCCCGATCGCCCTCTGGTCGCCGATAGGGGCACGATGATTAGCCCCCACCTGCCCAGGAACGTGTGGATTCACGATCGGGGGCCCATGGCCGATCTATCGGCGATATGTATCGCCGATTCCAGGTCGAGGTGTCCCCCCATCTGCCAGCTGCCCCTCTACAGGAGGAGTATTCAGAAATGGTAAAAACATAGCCCGGGATTTTTGACTACGTTTGACTAGTCTTGAGAATTTTGTGACTACTTGAAAATTTTTGGTCCAGAATCCGCCTGTAGGAGGACACGCCTGACCTACACGCCGGTCGTTGAAAGTAGGTATTTCTGGATGCCCAGATCCCAATCTACTTCGAGCGCCTTCCTACTTCAAGAATCGGCACGCTTCTGCTGCGCTTCGTTGTTCCCTGGGGGGGCCTGGACCCAATCTGCTAGATCCGCCTTCCTACTTCGTGCTTCTACCTACTTCTCCCGACCGACGTGTAACCCTACCGTTGCCCCTCGGAGCGTGCCTGGGCCCCCCCTCACGGGACCCTCAGGCGGCCAACCCTGGCCTGGACGGCTTGCCGCCCATCGAGAAGAGCCAGCGGAAGGACTACGCCCGGGCCTCGGCCGAGCGAGGGCGGCCCTCTCTTCTCGCGTCGGTTCAAGTCGGGCCTGTCCCTCTACAGGGGGAAAATTCAAAAAGAGTCAAAAGATATGCTGGGGACTATTTTTGAGTCTTTTTGGGCGTCTATTGGGCGTTTGTTGGGTATTCTTTATTTTTCGTCGAAAGTCCCCCTGTAGGGGGACAGGCCCGACCTAAGCGTCGGTCCTGCGGGGCCTGCTGCGGGGGGGGGGCCCGCCAGGCTGGGCAGGGCTCGCTTCGATTCCTCCGGGTCGGTTCGATTCGATTTCCATGGCTTCCGGTTCCGGTGTGATTCGGCTTCCGATTCCGATTTTGGCTCCGGCTTCTTCATGGAGGTTTATGCTAGGCTGCCGATTTCCGCCGATTCGACTTCTGCCGACTCGGCCGCCGATTTCCGCCGATCCGATCCATTTCGAGCCCCCTCGCGTCATTCGGGCGTTTTCTGCGTTGCAGCATGGCAGAGGCGATCCGCACGGGCGCTCGAGCTGATGGGGACACGTGCCTAGTAAATGGACCACCTGCAAGCGAGGGCGCGGGGAAGAGGAGCGGCCGCAGAGGACGGGGAGGAGGAGGAGGGCACTCACGGCTGACAGCGTTTAACTATGAGCGCACCGGAGCGGCCAGCCGCAGAGGACGCGGGAGTCATTGGGGTGCACGCCAAGGTGGATTCGGGATCCGTGGATCTGTCGAGTCGGCGCCAGATCCACGGACCAGGAAAGGTACCCCTCGAAACGTGAGGCCAAATGTGAGGCCAGTGCCGTCCGATTCGGGGACGGGGCGCGCCCTTTCTGTTAGGAAACGGGACCCATGGCTAATCCACGCGCCGCGAAAGCACTTTTGCGCTTCCTCGAGTCATGAAAAAGTCACGACGGAGGGTTTTTTACCGTATTCTACCTCTGGGAGCCCTCGCTGGGGTCCAGGACCGTCAGAAAACGACTCAGCATGAAAAGCCAGTGCGGGGGGATGGGTCGCGACCTCTGGGAGTCGACTTTGCGAAAAGATCACGACTGAGGCATCGACTGCCCGCCCAGGGACCCCTGCAGTGTTCCCTTCGATTCCGTCGATCTCGTTCGATGGCGATTTCGGCCTGCCGATCCGGTTCGATTCCGATGTCCGTTCGGTCCAGTGCGGCCCGATGCTTGCGGGGCGCTGTTGTGCATCCTGGCGCAGCCGATCTGGTTCGATTCCGACACCGTGCCGATGCAGCCCGATCTGACGGGTATTCCGATTCGATCCGATCTCCCGATTCGATGCTGATCAATCCTGCCTCTGTGTTTCTGATGCCCGTGAGCCTTGGGATTTGGCACGGCGACTGCCTCAGGCTTGTCACAGACCCCAGAGCCTTCACGCATCGACTCGGCTAGAACAGTACAATCGGTGTACACGCGGGCTCGACGCTTGTCTTCCGTCGCGTCTCTGTTCCAAGACTCCTTGGGCTTTTGCTCGCTTCGAACAGAGCACGGGTTCTCACCAGGTGTCCTCTGCTGCGCCCGCCAGCTCTTGCTCTCCTTTGCTCTCGTGCCCCTCGTTCCTCTCTCCAGCTCCTCTGATCCCTCCTCTCTTTCTCCAGGTACCACCCTTCTGCGCCCGGTCGTCGCCTCTCTCCCGCGCCCTCCTCTCCTGCAGAGCCCAGCTGCTTTCCTCGCCCCCCTGGGCGTTGCTGGCCCCACACACGTCACCACCTTTCAGAGGAGGCACAGGTAACCAATACGTACCGCTACCCTTCCCTCGTTTCTGCCTTTTCTGGGTCTCCTGGGATGCCCTCGTCGCCACGGCTGGCGTCTCTTCGAAATCCGAGTCACAACGCACCCTGGGAGAGGTCCGTGGAGTAGCGGTATGGGTACCCATCGGCCGTTGAAAGTAGGTATTTTTGGAGTCCCAGATTCCAGTCTATTCTAAGCGCCTTCCAACTTCAGTGATCGATTGGCTTCACCTCTTCCGTCCTCTTTAAGGGGCGGGCGGACATCCAGTCAATTTTCAACGCCTTCCCACTTCATGCTTCTACCTACTTCTTCCGACCGGCGGGTATTCTTCTTCCGCGGGCGACTTGTGCGTTCCGCAGCGCATCGGCGTCTCCCGAGGCGCCGCCGATCCTCGACCCAGGAGTGGTGCGGTACCCGATTGCCATGCACCGTACTGCGTTGGAGCGGGGCCCGACTGGAGTCCGAACTCGGTGGCCACATGTGAACCCTACCCCCCCCCACCCCCCCGCGATTTCACAGGGGGGGTGGGGGTTCAGTGGGTTTTGGGAGCTCCCGAGCGAAGCGAACCCTCACCCTCCCTTGGAGAACGTGGGCGGTGGGGGGGTAGGGTTCACACTGGTCGCCGAGGAGGAGGAGGAGGAAAAGGAGGAGGAGGAGGAGAAGGACGAGGAGTAGGAGGAGGAGGAGCAGGAGGAGGAGGAGGAGGAGGTGGAGGAGGAGGAGGAGGAGGAGAAGGAGGAGAAGGAGGAGGGGGAGGGGGACGTGTGGTCGCCTACGAGCGTGGTACGGTGCATGGGCGCCGCTCTCGTGCCTTTTTTTTGCCCCCCCCCCCCCCCCCGCCCGCGCAGGGCCGGCCCCCTCGCTCCGCGGCCCCCCGAGGCCGCCAGGGTGCCCCCAAGCGGCCACCTCTGTCGCCACCCTGCCACGCCCCCGGCATGATGGGGGCCATGTAAAAATTAGACAAGAACCAGTCTGGGGACGATTTTGCTTGACCATTTCTGGGTATTTGAATGTTTTGCTGGCTGTTTCTATATTTGTCCCAAGTCCGCCTGTAGGAGGACACGCCCGACCTGACCCTGGCAGTGTCCCTGTGCGCAGATCCAGACATCGCGCTCGCCGTTCTGGGTCTCGTCAGGCGTACGTAAGTCACGATTTGCCCGTGCTCCTGGGGGTCAGTGGAGCGCCTGTCACGCAGATCTAACTACTTAATATTCTTTGTCTCCTCCCACACCCGCCCCCCTCCCCTCTGGGCGCTACCAAACGTGCAAGAGCTGTCATGCTCGTTGCGGCCTTTTGGGTCCAGTGCAGTGCTCTCCCTACTGAAGTATATCCAAGTATTGCCCTTGCTCCCCCCGAGTGTTGCCAAACATACAAGTGCCACCACTTTCCCACACCTCTGGCGGGGCATGGCGGTGCCCCCGTGCGAAGATTCAAGCTTTATCCTCACCGCCCTGAGCGGACCGACTTTGAATGAGGCCGATTTGGGTCCGCACTCTAGAAGTCAATCGAATTGCAAGCTGCACGGCAGCACGACGGGTTCGCCTCAACGCTCCACTTGCCGATGCCACGGAAATGTGTTCCAAACGAGCTATTCTGATTCAGCGTCTGCATCAGTACGAACGGCGCGCAGTCCACGAAACGACGTCCAGCAGGCACACATGGTAGCATGCAGATTTGCCAGTATACGAAGCCAGGCGACGGCACGAGCACGCGGGTGCTTCCGCTTACACGTCTGTGGAACATGTTCCCAGACATCCGGCCGCTCTAATTTTTTCGATGCGTGGGCCCCGGAGGTCTGGACCACTTCCCTCGGGCCAGTTTTTAGTCCTGAGCCGTTGTTTGACCGTCCCGAGGCCTGGCGAGGGCCCCGGGGGTCCGAACACGGCCAAAACTGGCTGCTTACTTATTCGGAGCGTCGGATCTCTGGGTGCACGTCTGTGGGAAACGCTTGGACGCGGTACCAGGCGTGAGTATATGTTTTTCGCAGGGAGGGCAACCGAAGCCCTGGTTGGCTGAAACTGCAATTTCAGGGGACATCCATGTTTGAGGCCGCTCATAGTCTCAGCTTCGCTGCAGAGTGTGGCAACTGCATCTTGGCAACCAAACAATGCACGGGGAGTGGACGTCCGAGCGATGGCAAGAATTCGAGACGGATGTTTTTCGTAGTTTTCGAACTCTCGGGGCCCTCATTGGGCCTCGGGACCGTCAAAAAACGGCTCGGGATCAAAACCTGGTCCCAGGGAAGTGGTCGAGAGGTCGTGGGGCCGCGTCTCGAACAAATCGAGACGCCGGATGGCTGTCGTGTCTCTTGTTGTAGCGTTGGGGGGCCACGTCCCGCGTGCGCGGTCGCTTCGCCAGTCACCTGCCTTTATACAGGGCTAGCGATCTAAGTGCCATTCTTGGGTATGTGCAGGCGATTTTGGCTCGACACGTGCGCTCGTTGAGCGGGTAAGTGCGCGGCGTTTGCCCCGCAAGTGCGGATGGTTTTGATGATCTAGTGGCGTGAGCACATGTGCGGCCATGCGCGGGGGCATGTGCTCTGAGTTTGTCCACGATTGGTCTGAATCGGCCCCTGCCCTTGAGCGTTGTCTGCGACTGTACGCGCGTGTATGTGAGCAGCGTTGCATACAGCGGGCGATACGGTAGGTGCCCGCACCGCAGCTGCTTGCCCCAGCGCTGCCCGCGCACGCCCGCAAGTGGCACCGCGCATGCCCGCACACGGCACCGAGCGTGGTCTCGCGGCTATGCACGGCCGCGCGCGGCCGCAGACGCTCGCAGAGCTCCGCACAGCTGGCCGCACGTGCTCCCACACCGTCCCCGCTGGCGTGGCCCGGGCCCCGCTGGCCGAGCCGTGCCCCGTAGATCGAGGGACATAGGGCGGGGGGGGGCCTCGGCGATCCCCGAGTCGGGAGGAGGAGGAGGAGGAGGAGGAGGAGGAGGAGGAGGAGGAGGAGGAGGAGGAGGAGGAGGAGGAGGAGGTGCGGGGCGGGGGCGGCCGCAAACGCTCGCACAGCTCCGCACAGCCCCCGCCCCGCACCTCCGCACGTGGCCACTCCCCCCTGGCGGACGCCCGCACGTGCCCGCACATGGCGCCGCACGTGGCGCCGCTCGTGGCCGCCACGGGGTGCAGGGCCGCGCGCGGCCGCACGAGCTTGCACAGCGCCGCCAGGGGAAGGATCAGGGGGAGGAGGCGAAGAGGAGGAGGAGGAGGAGGAGGAGGAGGAGGAGGAGGCGGAGGAGGAGGACGAGAAACAGGAGGAGGAGGATGAGGAGGAGGGCTGCGTCCGACACACTCTTGCGCCTTCAGCTCGTCAGCTCGTCAGGATGAGGAGGAGGAGGAGGAGGAGGAGGAGGAGGAGGAGGAGGAGGAGGAGGAGCGAGGAGGAGGAGGAGGAGGAGGAGGAGGAGGAGGAGGAGGAGGAGGAGGACAAGCTAGGTGCGCTCGCGTCATATCTGACATCCTCCCCCTCCCTCCCATCCCTTACCATGGCGTAGATCCCCTCTCTACTCGCACAGTCGGATGTCGAGCAGGGCAATATCCCGAAAGGGTACGCGATGCATTGTAGAGCACGGCATGGCATGGCGTAGAAAAGCACCGCAAAGCGTAGTATGTCGCAGCATGGCGTGGCGTGGCGTAGTGCAGAATTGCATCACAAAGCTTTACAACGCAAAGCATGGCATCGCACAGCGGCCCCGAACAGAACATTGCATAGCATGGCGTTGAAGATCAAAGCGTAGCATGGCATAGCACGACGTGGCACGTAAGCACTGCATATCACAGCTTCAGCTGAAGGCATGGCATCGCGCAGCGGAACGCAACCTAGCATTGCATTGCATGCCGAGGCATGGCACGGGAAATGACGCCAGCGCTGCAGCGGGAGCACGATTCGGAACGAGCGGAAGCGCGGAAATGAGGCCAGCGCTGCAGCGGGAGCACGATTCGGAACGAGCGGAAGTACGGAATTGAGGCCAGCGCTGCAGCGGGAGCATGATTCGGAACGAGCGGGGCCAGAAAATGAGGCCAGCGCCTCAGCGAGAGCAGCATTTTGAAAAAAGTGCAGGCGAAAACCCAACTCCGGGGAATCCTGTGCGTAAAAAACAGTACGCGGGGGTGGGGGCGAACACTCCCAACCCGTCATCAGGGGAAGAAGGAGAGTAGTATTCATATTGAGTAATTGTGGAGGAGGAGGAGGAGGCGGAGGAGGAGGAGGAGGCATGCTCGTTTCAGGAGGTGGCGCTTCCCGCGCGCCGGGCGATGGCAGTGGCGGAGACCCTGTAATGTTTCTCCTAGTATTTTGCCCTTTGTCGTCCACTCAAGAATGCACGACTGGGCCCAGCGAGCTGTGCAAGTACTGTGCCGGCATGTGCCAGGCACGTGCTCGGCACGTGCGGAGCTGGACTTTTCGGGCGGCGCCCGCAGGCCCCCATCGGCCCGCCATTGACGGCCGGGGGGCCAGTCGATAGCCTCTTGGAGCTTCCGCGCTGCCCCCGTTGCGGCAGCCGCGCTGCGCATGTCGGCGCTGGTCCGCCCGTCTGTTCGCCTGACGCCCGTAGTGATTTCCTCCTTCGGGCGCTCTGCTTCCCTCGATCAGCTTCTGCGGTTGCCTCCTTTTTTCATTCCTCTTGTCGGCACATCTAGGCCCGCGCCCCGCCCGGGTCCGAACGCGCCTTGCGACTTTGGCCTCAAGAGTTTTTGTTTCGCTCGTAAAAGTTATCGTGGAGGTGCCTGGGCTGTCTAGGAGGGACCTCTTGCAAGTCTTGTTTCTGAGGAAGTGCGGCGTGTGCGGCCATGTGCGGGCATGGCGGGGCTTGCCTGGGTCATGGAGATGCCTAGCACGTGCGGGCATGTGCAGGGAGGCGGCGGCTTCAACGCTGCCTCGCACAGGAGCGAGCGCGCGGGTGTGCACTCAGCGTGCTGAGCAGAGAAAGTGTCGAAAACAATGAAGTCTAACATAGTGAACGTTATAAGTCCTGTGTGCCTCCTCCTCCTCCTCCTCCTCCTTGTCCACCTCCTCCTCCTCCTCCTCCTCGTCCACCTCCTCCTCCTCCTCCTTCTCCTCCTCCTCCTACTCCTCTTCCTCCTCTTCCTCCTGACCCTCGCTCCGCGCCTCCTCCGCTGGGGGTGGGCTCCCGGTCGAGGTGTGGGCGGCGAGGACGCACTCGCTGGAGGGCGACGACCGCCCCATCTACACGTGCCGCCCCCGGCGCAGCGTCGCGCGGGATGGGTTCCCCGACGCTGTTCGCCCAATTAAAACAGACGGCACCACCCCACTTACGGCCCTCCATGTTGCGCTACGGCCCATCGGGGCCGCAGCGTATCCCACGCCGAAACCCAAGCCGCAACTCGTGGTATGTGCTGATGCCAGTGGGGCCGTAAGTAGGGTGGTGTCGTTTGTTTCCTGGTGCAGCTGTTTGACGGGAGGGCACTCCGTCGGCGATCGGCGTCCGATCCCCACCCCTGCTGCTGCCCCCCGCTCTTGGCAGCCAGAGGAAGCAGAGCACGGATTCAGAATTGGAGCTCTTGAGGCCAGAATTATATCCATGCCGCCGCTTTGGCCCCTCGTAGGCTCGGGGCATGAGCAGGGGCATGGATTAAATGTCGATCGCCTCCCCCTCCTCCTCCCTCTCCTCCTCCTCCTCCTCCTCCTCCTCCTCCTCCTCCTCCTCCTCCTCCTCGCAGAACACGGCCACCCCAGCCACAGAAACGCAGGGTCCAGGCGGCAGGGACGGTCCGCATGAGGCCTCCCACAGTTCCGAGGAGGGTGCGTGCCTCGTGTCTCCGCTGCGGCTCACCTGTGCCTCAGGTGGCGCCAGGGGTGGTTCCGCAGCCCACCAGCTTCAACGCCAGTTGGAACACTGCCTGTGTCTCACAACGTCCGACGAACAGCGGCGACAACATGTCCGAAGCCATTTTGGCTCAAGCCATTTCGGCTCAGGTCGCAGTTTTCTTGCGTCATGGCGGATTCTGGTGCCGCGCTCTCAGTGACACCTCCTGGAACTTCCAGTGATGTCGTTGGTTCGTCGCATTCTGGGGAAGACCAAGCGCGCGGCCAGGCGTATATGCAGCTCCAAGCTGAACGAACTCTGGAATCGCCGCTTCTGTCGATAGGCGGCGGCCCGCCTCTCCGTTGGTACTGCTTGAATGACATCGTCATGGGCGGCAGGTCCTCCTCCGAACTTGCGCTTACGCCAGCTGGGGCACTCCGCTTCTCAGGGTGCATCAGCACGGATGGTGGTGGCTTCGCTGGTTGTCGGACAGCGGAGAGCGAGCACTGCGTGCCGGCCGGAGCTGCTGGAGTCTGGCTCACCGTCAGCGGGGAGCACACTCACAGTGTGAAATTCACGATGGGCGCTGGGTCTGAGGCCGACGAGAACGACCCGACGGGTGCGACGATCGGCGTCGAGGACCTGGACGCCCACAGAACTCGCATGGACAAGGGGTCCAGCAAGGGCAAGGGCAAGGGGGGAAGCATGGCGGAGCGCTGGGCAGCGATGACTCCCCAGGAGCGCAGGGGGATGCTCCGGGCTGTGAGCTGGCAGTGTGGTATTTCGGACCACCTGGCGCCCCGAGGGTGCGGTGACGCGGAGCCCCGCCGCTTCTTCCTGGCGCTCTCGAGCTTCAACGCTTCGCTCTACGGCCAGGCCCTTCCTCGCCTGCGAGTCCCAGATCTGACGAAGCTCACTCATCTCGGTATGACCGTGGGCGTCTTTGATGCCACCTCGAAGGCCAGGCTGGAACATTACACGGACGGCCCCTTTGCGATTACGCTTCACTCTGTCGAGTTCGCTTAGCAATGGTATGCTCTGTTGCCAGCCTCATGTTTGATTTGATTCGATGTCATCTGTTTCCGTTCACTGACTGCAGCAGTACTGCGGATGTCAGGGCGCTGATCCTTACGAGAAAACAGCGGCGACAACATGCATGGTTCCTCATCGTTTCCCCTGACGGCGAGTCATGCTCCGGGGCCAGGGCCCAAACAGAAAGTGGTCCCGCGTCATCTTTGACGGCTGATTCGAGCGCCAGCCCTGGCTTTGTCATTGTGTATGGCCCGTCTCCAATGGCGCGGTTGCGCGCCAGCTGAGGCTCCGATTGCTCTGTCCTGGGGCCGGTCCAGTGCTGCGCGTCAGATTGAGAAGATGCCACATCAGTCATCTCCCAGCAGAGCTGGCACAGAGGAGGGCCCCACGAGTCTCTGCATGATGGCCCTTGGCCGCCGATCTCAGCGCGGCCCCGTCCCCAGTTGATCCCGGATCACCGCTCCTGAGGTCAGACGCCGCGAGAAGCTGCAGCATCGCGAGGCATTCCGACCAGAGCGCTGGACCCTATCTTCCTGCGGCGTGTTTTGAGCCGCATCGATCTGTGATGGCCTCCTCCTCCTCCTCCTCCTCCTCCTCCTCCTCCTCCTCCTCCTCCGGCCCCGGGGCCCGCAACGGGCGACGACGCTCTTGAAACATGGCAGGCGCCCAGATCTCGGGCACCGTGCCCTGTCCGCCGCCGGCCTCTTCCGTCCCTCGTCCCCGGCTGTCCCCGGCTCCCGGGTGCTGCCAGAAGTGCCCCTGGCCCAAGGTCAGGGGAACAAGAAGTGGCACAAACATCACAACTCGGAGGTCCGCGCGGATTTTCTCGGATCCGCGCTGGACCCCCCTCTCTGGCGCGCGGAGCGCGCCAGGGGCGGCGCCGGAGGCGCCGCCGGGGGGCCTCAGCGCCGATCCGAGAAATCCGCGCGGACCTCCGAGTTGTTATGTTTATGCAATTTTTGATTCCCCTAAAGGTGCCCCCAGGATTTTCTGGGTGGCCCAGGCGGCCTCCAGAGCACCCCTCACGAGGCCCTGAGGGCCCCAGGAGCTCCAAAATGGAGCGAAATGCTGAGGGCACCTTGGGCCAGGGGCACTTCTAGCAACACCCAAGGTTTGGCCGAGTGCTCTGGCCGCCAACGATGGCTTTCGTCTGGCCCAGTCCCCGACCGTCCCTGGCCCCAGCCCCGCGATCCTGGCCGCCACCGGCCTTCTCCGTTCGATCCACTGTCGGGGGCTCGCAGAGGGGGCGTTGTTCCAAGGTGGGTTTATAGAGAACGAGCCCGCGATTTTTTCTTTAGCCCCACCTCTGCCCACCTTGACGTCCCGCCGACACTGCCCCCCCCCACACTGCCCCCCCCCCCCACACTGCCCGGCCCGGTCCTCCGCTGTGACCGGCCGCCGAACCGCCGATCTCTGCTTGGGCGTCGCGTAGTGGGGGGGCGATGACTAGGGGGGCAGCGAGGGCTGCAGAAAAGGGGCCATTTAGGACCCTGATGGGGACCTTCAGGGCACAAAAGGAGCCTTGCCGAGAAGTGCACCTTTCGTCCCCTCCCATTCATCGCCCCCCCATGTATCGGGCCGAACGGAAGGGGGGATTCGGGAAAAGGGGGGTTACGAAATCTGCTTCATGCAGCTGGTTTCGGCTCCGCCGCCGGGCCCATTCCTCGATACATGGGCGCCTTCCGGCGCCGGGAGGCGCTGGGAAAATCAGCTACGTGAGCTGATTCCCTACCTAGGCTCTGCCTAGAAGGGTTCTTACTCTCTGGGCTTAAAGGGGCCGGGCAGTGGAAAGCGCCCCGGGCGGTTCCCCCAGTATCCGCCCCGCGGTTCCCCCAGTTACGTCCGTTTAGCTTAGCATCGCGCAACGCTGCATTAGCATAGCGTAGCATAGTATAACATAGCCAATCATAGCATAGCATAGCATAGAATAGCACCGCATATCATAGCATAGCGCAGCATAGCATAACATAGCATAGCATAGCATATCATAGCATAGCATATCATATCATACCATATCATAGCATAGTATAGCATCGCATAGCATAGCATAGCATAGCGCAGCTTAGCATAGCATAGATTAGCATATCATAGCATAGCATAGCTTAGCATAGCACAGCGCAGCATGACATAGCATAGCTTAGCATAGCATGGCATATCATAGCATAGCATAGCATAGCGCAGCATAGCATCGCATAGCATAGCATAGCATAGCGCAGCTAATGCTGCTTTCCTAGGGGCTCCAACTTCTAGGTAGGGTCGCACTGGGGTAATTCTCCCCCCCCCCCTTTTGCTATCCCCCCCTTTCGCCCGGCCCGAATGTAAGCGATGCCCATGCCCGGCCACCCAACCGCCTCCCTCTCCTTAGTCGCGGCCCCGCTCTGTGGCTGTCCCCGTCTTCTGCAGTGCGGCGCCCGGGCTTCGCCACCGACCTGCTTCGTGTTCGTTCGGCCGTGTGTCTCCAACTGCCCCAGGCGGCTCGGTTTGGAGCGGGCCGGAGGTCGGAAGTGGCCCAGCACTGGTCCCAGCCAGCAAGGACGGGGGGAACATTTAATTCCCTACCTAGGCTCTGCCTAGAAGGGTTCTTACTCTCTGGGCTTTCAGGGGCCGGGCAGTGGAAAGCGCCCCGGGCGGTTCCCCCAGTATCCGCCCCGCGGTTCCCCCAGTTACGTCCCCTTAGCTTAGCGTTGCTTATCTCATCTTAGCTTAGCTTATTCAATCTTAGCTTAGCTTAGCTTCATCTTAGCTCAGGTGTATCTTAGCTTAGCTTTCTCTCATCTTAGCTTCGCTGGGCTTTAGCATAGCATAGCATAGCATAGCATAGCGTAACATAGCATAGCGCAGCATCACATATCATAGCATAGCCCAGCATATCATAGCATAATTCAGCATAGCATAGCATAACATGGCGCAGCACATCGCAGCACAGCATAGCACATCGCAGCATAGCATATCATAGCATAGCATATCATATCATAGCATACCGCATCATCGTATCGCATACCATAGCATGATATAGCATAGTATAGCGTAGCATAGCATAGCATAGCGCAGCTTAGCATATCATATCATGTCATGTCTTAGTTTAGCATAGCACAGCGCAGCATGATATATCATAGTTTATCATGTCATAACATAGCATAACATAGCCCAGCATATCATAACATATCATGTCATATCATATCATAGCATGTCATAGCATAGCGCAGGATAGCATGGCATAGCACAGCATAGCATAGCATAGCAACTAATGCTCTTTTTTTTGGGCCTCCAACTTCTAGGTAGGGTCGCACTGGGGTAATAATCTGGGTTTGAAGCTTGTTCGCCCAACCATCCTGTGGTGTTGGGTCCTCGTTTTGAAGAGACAGCGCCCCGCGGTCCTTCCTCTCCTCTTCTCCTCCCCCTCCTCCCTCCTCCCATCCTTGCCTCTGCTTTCCGTAGTATGCCAATCAGGTCGGCACACCCCTCCTCATACGTTTCGTGGCCCCGTAGGGAGCTCCACCGCAGGTCCAAATGGTGCTGCCCGCATGGGCCCCCGGCACTAATTTTGGCACACCCTCCCATGTTTCGTGGCCCCACAGGGAGCTCTACCGAAGGCCCCAGTGGCAGGGTCCGCATGCGTCCCCACCATCAATTTCGGCACACCCCTCACACGTTGCGTGGCCCCATAGGGAACTCCACCCAAAGGCCAACATGGTGCCGCCCGCCGCCTGTATAAGCACACCCCTCAAACGCTGGGCCCCATGGGGAGCTCCACCCAAGACCAAAAGTGTGCCGCCCGCATGCGTCCCGCAACCAATGTCGGCACATCCCTCACACGTTTCGTGGCCCCATGAGGAGCGCCACCCAAGGCCCACATGGTGCCGCCCGCATGCGTCCCCGCCACCAATTTCGACACACCCCTCACACGCTTCGGGGCCCCATGAAGAGCTCCTGGTGCCGCCGGCATGCGTCCCCGCCACACATTTCCTCACACGTTTCGTGGCCCCACTGGGAGCCCCATCCAAAGCCCAAATGGTGCCGTCCGCATGCGTCCCCGCCACCCATTTTGGCACATCCCTCACATGTTTCGTGGCCCATGGGGAGCTCCACACGAGGCCCCACGTGGTGCCGTCCGCATGCGTCCCCGCCATTCATGTCGACACACCCCTCGCGCGTTTCGTGGCCCCATGAGGAGCTTCTCGGAAGGTCCAAATTGTGCCGTCCGCATGCGCCCCCACCACCCAGTTTTGCACACCCCTCACACGTTTCGTGGCCCCATGGGGAGCTCCGCCCAAAGCCCCACGTGGTGCTGCCCGCATGCGTCCCCGCCGCCCATTTCGGCACACCCTCGCACGTTTCGTGGTCCCACAAGGGGCTTTATCGAAGGCTTAAGCTGCACCCTCCGCATGCGTCCCCGCCACCCATGACGGCACATCCCTTACACCTCTAGTGGCAAGGTGTGGATGCGGTCCCCCGCCCACATCGGCACACCCCTCACACGGTTCATGGCCCCACAGGGAGCTCCACCCGATGTCCAAGTGCCACCGTTCGCATGTGTCTCCTCCGCCCATCCTCTAACATGTTTCCCGTGTTTCATGACCCCACAAGCAGTTCCACCCAAGGCCTCATGATGAGATCCACTGAGGGCGATCGTCACAACGACGATATTCATAATTGCATATGTTTGGGTCCTTCGCCAGGCTATTTTTGCTTGCCTTTTTCGGCCTCTGCGGGGGGCTGTCAGAAACGGATCCGGGCTGAACATTTGCGCCAGATGGACCTTGGGCCTTGGGAGGGGTCTGGGCACCGATTTTGAACGGATTTGCCTTCCACCCCCCCCCTCTCTTGATTTTCGGGGTCCAGCCAGCTCAGAGACCCCGGCCGCCTCCAAGGCGGCTCGGCGGTCCTGCTTAGCACACGGGGTTGTCTTCGCCCCCCGCCGCGCGCCACGGCTCCGCGCAGCTCTTGCGTCGGGGGGGGGGGGGGGGCCGCCGACGCGGCTGCGCCGAGGTTCAATCCCGACGAGATGGTCCCCGTGAGGAACTACGAGCTGAAGGAGGAGAACGTGTGCGACGTGTGCGGGGGGGCCGCGACGGAGACGCTCTTCGAGTTTCGGTGCTTCAGGACGCGCGGCGTCCCACGGCCTCCTCGATCTCATCCTCCATCTCATCCTCCTCGATAGCCCCCTCCTCCTCCTCCTCCTCCTCCTCCTCCTCCTCCTCCTCCTCCTCCTCCTCCTCCTCCTTCTCCTTCGTTCTGATCCCTCGCCTCCCCGCCTCGGGGGCGTCCGATTCTTTTTCTGATAGCAGGACGGCCTGCATCAAAGTGCAGACGACTGGCTCGATGAGGTCATCCCCCGAGCACTTGTTCTCAAAAAGGTGTGCAAAACGTTGGATTCGCGCAGTCATCGGAGCCAGACCCGTTGAGTCTCTAGTTGCACTTCTCCGCCTTCTCCTCCCTCCCAACCCTGTGCGCACGCGCGAATTGTTTTACTTCGCAATCGCCCCTATCCAAGACGAGGCGATGAGCGTACTGCCCACTGGGGACGAGAGACTCGCCGAGGACGGCGTTGCATCGCAGTGTGCTTGCGGGGTGTCCCCTGCGCCGCAGTGGAGTACCACCCTTTTTGAGCCCACCCCGAGCAGCCAGAGTCAGGAAATCAAGTGTACACCGACGTCGATTTTGGTGAAGCCTGGGCTCAACGTGTTGGTGTTTGCGCCTTCTTTCTAGCTGGGAATGCGTGTACACGGATCCGTGGCCGAAGGTCGGCTTGCAAAAACTCGGTTTGTTGCTCAGCTGGCTGTCTTCCTACCTCCACAGGCGCCAGGGGTTCTGCGGGAGTTCCGCCAGAAACAGCTTGGGCCATGGCTGGCTCAGAAGAGGAGGAGAAGGAGGAGGAGGATGAGGAGGAGGAGGAGGAGGAGGAGGAGGAGGAGGAGGTTAGGAGGGGGAGGAGGAGGAGGAGGAGGAGGAGGAGGAGGAGGAGGAGGAGGAGGAGGAGGTTGGAGGAGGAGAGGAGGAGGCGGAGGAGGAAAGGAGGAGGAGGAGGAGGAGGAGGAGGAGGAGGAGGAGGAGAAGGAGGAGGAGGAGAAGGATAAAGGTAGAGGATTGGCATCGGCCCAGGATGGGCCTGGCCAGGCCCGCCTCTGGTGCACAGCTGGAGCCCCGGCTCCCTCCTGCCCTGGGCGAGCGCCCCCCACGGCGAGCGGCGAGCAAATTCCAGTGACAGGCAGGCTCTGCCCGCCCGCCAGGAGTGGCAGCTTTTCAGCGACGTCGGGGCTCCTTCTCCGAAGTTCGGTGTGGAGACGAGGAGACCCCCGGTAAACGGGAGGGGTGAGGGAAAGGTGGGTGGGGGGGAAGAGAGAGAGAGAGAGAGAGAGAGAGAGAGAAAAAAGAGAGAGAGAGAGAGAGAGAGTAAGAGAGAGTGAGAAGGAGAACGCGAAAACAAAAAGGCAGAAGTAGTACGATGGACAGACACATAACTATATATATATATATATACATATACATATATATACACGTTCATATATACAGGGAGGGAGAGAGAAAGAGGAGCAGCTTAGGCCAGGGCCTGCTTAGAAGAGGAGGATGAGGATAATGAGGAGGAGCAGGAGGAGGAGGATGAGGAGGTTGGAGGAGGAGGTTGGAGGAGGAGGGGAAGGATATAGATAGAGAGAGAGAGAGAGAGAGCGACCCCCCGATGCAGGCGAGCGAGGGACCACCAGCCGTCGGGATGCCGCCGCCTGCACCCTTTCATTCGAGCGGCTTCCGCCCCCTCCGCCACCCGTCGGAGAGGGGCCCGACCCTCCGGCCCCGCACGTTCGTGCTTCGGTTGTCACCCGTGGTGTCTTCGCTTGAGCTGTGTCGAAAAGCTTGATCTCGCTGGCCGGCCGTCTGGATGACCGAGCAGCGTCTGGCCCGCGCGGGATCCCCGCGGGCTAGGCTACCTCCCGGGGTCGCCCGAACTGCTCCAGGAAGCCGTCGGACGAGTACCTCCAGTTGATGAGGATCTCATCAAGCCTGAGGCCCCACTCGAAGATCTTGGCGTCTACGGCGGAGCGCTCTTTCCTGCCAGTGGTCCAGAAGAACCTCCTCTGCATGGCGTCGGCGGGCAGCGCCCCGGCCGGACGCTCCTGTGCGAGCCCGTCGCACTGCCACGCGAGGTGGTCGTGGCTGCCGAGTGACGCCCGGCACCAGGGGCACTGCCCGTCGGGCAGGCCGTCGGCGCGCGTCACACACAGAGGGCGCTTTCCGACTCCTCCGGGCCGATTCGAAACGATTTCCCAGGGTTCCGACTCGATCCGACTCGATGCGAACATTCCGATTCGCGATTCCGATTTCGAGTTCGCCCGATCCGACTCCTGCCGATTCGATGCCTCTGCCGACTTCTGCCGATTTCCTGCCGATTCGGCTTCGCTCCGGCTCTTGGATGGTTTAGAAAAGGCGGAGGAGGAGGAGGGGTAGGAGGGGGGGAGGAGGAGGAGGAGGAGGAGGAGGAGGAGGGGCAGGCAGGATCGCCCCCGCCGACGCCGACCTGCAGGTGCCGATCTTCAGGTGCCTCGCCGTGGCCGCCGCCGCCGTCGCAGCCATCGCAGCCCACGGATGGGGGTCCGTCCCTGGTGCACGGAGTCCGTCCCTCAGCCGCCGCCGCAGCCATCGCAGCCCTGGTGCCACGGAGTCCGTCCCACAGACGCGGGGGTCTGTCCCGCAGACGTGGGGGTCTGTCACAGACGTGGGGGTCTGTCCCACAGACGGGGGGGTCTGTCCCACAGACGGGGGGGTCTGTCACAGACGGGGGAGGGGGGTCTGTCCCACAGACGGGGGGTCCAGGGGGT